ACTAAATAAGGTATTGATGTTTGGATTTCTGGATAAAAGATCGATAGATTACTGGATGTTAGATCAGATCGATGGTTGGACGACTATGGACAAGAGATGCATGACTAGATTAGGGATTTGTTGTTTAACTACTGAAATTATATCGACTTCAAAAACAAAATATAAGTATATAAATGGGCTATCAGCTGGTTCTGATGCCTTTTTCTTTGAGTTTAAATTTTAAGCATTGGCACTTTATTTTATGTTTTATGGCATCGTGTAATCTATTGTCAAAGTTTTAATAGATCAAAGGTATCCCTTMAAACTGCAAGATGAGTGGAAGGGACTAAACCATGACAGTTTTTGGCGTTATTAATAGATACAGTTCACCTAACACGTTAAATCAAGCATCCATTATGTGTCAGTTTTGTTAAGATTTCCGACTGGTGTTGCAGGGACCCTGTTTATAAATCATTCTTTGACGCGATTCATTGAACTGATGAACAAACTTGGTCATTCTACAAAATGACAATTTTTCGTTTTACCCTTCTTGGCATTTTTGGTAAGTAATTTMTTTATGTTATTGTTAATTCTGTTTTCCGGGTTGAGGCTAATCGGCGTTCAGGCGACGTTCAACACTAAAGAAGCCTGACCGTACGTAGAGATAAAAGTTTATTTACTTGTTAAACTTGGACGCGGTTGAATTACTCATTGAAAAGTGCAGCCAGTTTGCTTTTAAAAATAGATGTTTTGCATTAAGCGGTCACATGGTACACGATGGATGGAAAAATACCCACTGGGATGTTTGACGGGCTACTTTCCTTTTGTTTTTGAGGTTATTTACAGTTTGCCATCCATTATGGCGGAGTACCATGTGCATGTGACCGTTTCATGGCATATTATGATCGTAAATTAGCTTTTACACTAGAAACCTTAAAGATACCATGGTAACTACAGCTAATTGGTTAATCCTTGCCAGTGTATATTAGTGTAACATAGTTTTTGTTCGTATTTTATAYTGTTACTTCAGTTATCGGTTAAAACGSAATCCACTCACAAAGTCAAAATCCCAAGGCACCTTTGCACTAATGACAGCTCAGCTTCTGGAGAYTCRTCAACCAAGCAAGACTTAAAACCAGACCATTTCCGTAAACTTGGTCGAGTATCAAACATGAAGAGTTGCATTGAACAGTGTTGTGGTCTTCATAGTTGTGACCTTGCTATGATGTCATATAACAGTAAACAATGCTACGCTGTCGCGTGTTTCAACGAAAATCTTTGTAGTATGCTGCCTTCCTACCCTACGAGAGTCAGCTTTGATGTTGTGRATGTGAAGAGACGCATGGTTGTGACCTGACAATGGCACTTGTTGTTGTTGTTAATCAATGCCTTGAAGATCTGAGCAAAACTAGGAAGATATAATGACAAAATGCATTTTGTGTTCAAAAAAATCGGTTTTAAAATCTTACCCGCGTCAACATCRTATGCTTATCCACCGTCAGGTTTGGCATATGAAATGTAATAAATAGTCGATGGACTGATAGCTGACTAATACCCCATTGCTGACTTAACAGCGTGGTATATCAATGAACACAATGTATAAATCAGCAGCTCTTATCTTGTAAAGGACTTTTATTTGGACCTTGAATCGGGCCCTAACTTCAAGGAACTTTCATCTTYCTTTTTATGACTTTCAATGCATTCATTCCAGTTCTCTTTATCAAGAAGTATTTTATACATACGCATCACTATTTTGTAAAAAAAATGAATTAGCAACATTAAAAAAAGGCAAGAGTAATATAAAGTGACCTTGTGGATGATACATATAGGCGGACAGACAGACAGATCGATGCKTTCATAATATAAACTCTCSGAACATAACTGATTGTTAATTATCGGTTATTACGCGRTATTACTGGTATTGGGTATATGGCAATACGTTCAGTGCTGTGTTGTTTTGCACAATCACATGAAATCCACTCTGCAKGCTTTTTTTAAACCTCTSGAACCTGGGTGCTAATGATGGTGATATTATTAACGCTTTTCGAATTCGTAGAGAATATATTGAATACTTAGAGCATGGCTTGGGAACATTATTATCGTGCAAATATTAATATGACACTTTTGCTCTCCCATGCTTCTTTCCGGTCTTAGCTTAGAAGGTGTATTTGACTAAACGGCTTCATCGCTATTCGTCTAGACCGAAAAGGATCATGGGGATAATCAATTTACTGTTACCAACATGACTTGAGTTCGTGTTAAACATGCCTCAAACATACACTTAATAACAAAAACGTTGTCCAAGAAAAAACAACTTGTTTTATYATTTACGAATTAATCAGTAAAATACAGAGCTTCAGCTTCAGTGGTGTATTTTAATGTGTTCCTAAATTGTAGGATAACGTTTTCGTCATTAGGTGATGATTTACGCTGGGTGATACAAATCTATTTAGCGATATTTCATGGCGATATACAAAGCAACCTGTTTGATGGAATATGATGTGAATTGAGTCTTGGTTTGCTTTCCTTTGTGAAGTTGTCACCGTCTGATAGAGAAGAATCAATGAGATTCATGTTCATTTACCCGTAATCCTTTTTGGTCTTAGCGCGTAGGGATGAAACTGATTAACGACAAAGTCAAATGACTGTTCACAAATATGCACATAACAGAGCTTRCTTGATAAATTAGAACGATTTTTAGCTAATGTATCTAGCTAGATTATGTAACAATGTTTCAGTTCAATTTGTTTTCACAATTTGTGTTATCAACATCATGTGAATATGTCACTACAATAAAAGCATCAATTACAATAACAAGAARAACGAGTCCAACTGTCCCAATGAAAGACGATGATGGTATTCCTTGGATCTGTTGAAGGTGTTTCATGTCTAATATAACGGCATTGATTTGATTGTTTGTCGCGATGAACACAAATACATGAAACCATTGATGACTATGACCAACAACGTCAAAATACTCCGAGAAATACTTTTCTGGGATTTTAGCTGTCATTGTGATAGCCATCAAAGTACACCAAAAAAATTGAGAATAATGGAACCACATGGACTTGGTGTAGAAAGAAGCGAGGATACCGTAAATAACAAAGGAGCTTGTAAATATGTATGGTACAGCAAATGATAAGGCTCTCATTGTACTTTGGACCGACCTCCACTTTTTGTGTCGAGAAATGCAACATACATGACAGCAAAACACAGCCATTATGACGTTGACTGGCTGGTGAAGTGCACCAAGTAATGAATCYCGGACATGTACTGGTGTACTGTACGCAAAGTACGCTACAGAAGATCCCATACTATACACACTTATTCCGGCGTAGTCACAGCAAAAACATAAATGACGAATATTCAACGGCATACTGCTGAACGCATGCGCAATTGTACTAAGGGCTGGGAATGCAAATGAACCAATTGCAAAGGCAAGCATCGGCCAGTAATCGGGATTCCACAGCAAGTCTACTTGCAAGGAATAAAATTTCCAAGCAAAAAATAGTAAAGTAAAAAAATGTGTCCAAACATTGATGGTCTCGTTYTTCCATTGGAAGAGACTCTTGAGGCACTCCAATGCAGTCATCCCTGGTCGACGGTAACCAGTGTTGATGTAATCATCGCGGTATCCCTGTGGAATCTACAAATAAACATAAATAGATGCATGAATATCGCGAAGAAAAACAGGAAAGTATTTAATCTTTCACGTTCGTGTGTAATTTTAATCAATCAAGAGAATTTGAATAGAAAGAGAACTACAAGAAGGTTTATCATTTTAAATATGGATATTTCGTCCTTTATCCAAAGGCCATCAGTCACGATATTTGTTTTCATACGCTGATCAAGTCGGCAGATTATGTGGTTGAATGAACATATCTCACCTCACTCATTTTCAAAGTATCCTTGCACTTGAGGAAMTGTTTCCAGAGCGCAGACCAATCATCGAGACCATAGCTGACCATCCTCATGACAGACTGAGTGATTACACTGTCAACGATAACAAAAGGTGCATGATCATTTTGCGGCATAAGCTACAATCAGCTATGACTCATATTGTCGATCGAATACTGGTCACATTTACGTATAAGGCAGTTTTGAGTGCGCCGAGAAAATCTCCAGAGTGTATATTGCGCGATGTCGGCGGTTTTAAGTACATATTTTTAACCTAGACTATATGTTCAAAAACCTGATGATGTTGTTTTTCAAATGCACTGTGGGGTGCTACTGTTCCCTTCTCTTTATTGCCATCGTTGATAATTGCTCTGTTACGTCACAAATAACAAATCGCGCACTTTTTAATGTCGTCATAATCAATGCATGCAATGACGCAAACTCGACTTCCAACCTCGAGGATCCTGTAATTCGTCTTTCCAAATTTCAAAAAGGGACTGGTGCCTAGTCACAAGCAATTAAACATAGTTGATAGATTATCAACTATTGACTGTGGTTTGAAGAAATCAAGAAYCGACATATCAAAATTAATAAAAAAGGCAAGGTTTGAACGTATTTTTGTGCAGCGTCCCCAAAAACTTTGTGATCCCTCTTTTGTCGCTAACGAATCGTAAATCATTCGAATATAAATGCTATTCAAGTATGATTTGAATTTTTGCGCAAATAAAATTTTAGCTATTTTTACTAGTTAAAATAATATATTTTTATAACATAATTTGAAATAGCTGCCAGAATTTCTTTCAAATTTTAAAGTTATTTATTTATTGCTTAGTTTGATAGACATAAAGTATTTATCAGCCTTATTGACGTTGCCATAGATACTATCCAATAAAATTTCCCAGTCGAAAAGTAAGACAAGAAGACAATGGAAAGTKTTGCTAAAGATATGATACTTATATTTTCTATATCAGGTGGCTATTGCTAAAAGGTTATACAATTACTAATAAATGGATCGCTTTTGATCACAACAAACTAAACACCTCAGGCACAGAGCAGGTGGCTCAAGAAACTCAACAACAACTAATTTATGTGGGTCTATTTTTGGCAAGTTATTTTGTCAGAAAACRCTACTGTAATACTGTAAAAAAAAGCTCTTTGTATGCCAGCTAATCTACTCCAAATCATTTGCACTGAACAATCTAATCATGCATATYAAACATCAGAAAGAAACGGAAAGGCAAGCTAAGAGGCAGAGATTGAAGCCAAGCTCATCGGTTTAACAAAACAGTAATTAGAATCAGATTCTTATTTCAATGGAAATATTTTTTCAAACCGTTAATAGCAAAATCTTTTTATAAGAAACGCATGTCATCGAACCTTTTAACAGAATATAGAATCTTATGTATTTCATTGGGAATTAATCTTCAAGTTTGATCGCGACTTTCAGTCACAGACAACCAGTGGATATTTGCTAAAGATTTGCATATTACGTCGCGCAATCTGTAATTATATTGTCCACAATAARATTTCAGACATTTTGAAATAATAGTATGAAAGATATTTTAGTGGAAGGTTGTTGAACAGGCTAAATGATTTGTTTGGGATATTATTTTCAAATATACTGTAAATAATTGGCTTAAGTTTTAATTTCGACTTATTGCTTCACCGAAATCAAAAAATTGCTCTCAATTCCTCCTGAAAAAGACCTTTTTAGAGATTGTTATGAAATCTTAGCGTTCTTGAAGTATTTCAGAATAATTTAATTGAAAATTTGAGCTGATGATGTTTCACCGGTTAAAGTTTACAGGTAAAACACCATGGTATCCATGAAGTTCTATTCTATTATAATATTAATGCACGAATTCTTCCTAGTGGGAGGAATAACAGAAATAKCCATCACTCTCTCTTACCTCTATATTAGTTCGGTGAGTAACCAAAATGAATGATTTCTTCTGGACAAACGGATGAGCTATTTATACAACATTATGAATATTTTATTGTATGAAAGCCACAGCGTGACCGGTTGTATCATACCGGTCATCATCTCTTTCAAGACAGGACATACAACGAAATGCATCCTGGGTTTCTATTTTTGATCAATTTCGAAATTGGCGGGAAACTCTAACTTGATGGCGTACTCGGGAACAAGAAAATACCCTACAAGCGAATGCGTTTTCTAGGTCTAATAAATTTGAAGAAAAAACAATTTAAAAATAAAGTAATATGTATTTTCTTGCGATTCTTGAGTCTGTTTTTTTTTTATCCCAATGTGAATAATGAATATTGCAGTCAGTTGACGGGTCGTCTGTACCTGGCCCTGAGGCAGATGGTATTTCTACTCTACAACAACACTGTTCTTAGGATTAYAATTCCAATGAACGCTCTCTCTTAAAGAATTATGGGTAAACGTGGTGACAAGATAGCGCCAAAGGAAGTGTGACAAATACACGATTACGTCATAAACCGGAAGTAGCTTAGGGATTGACAAATATTCTTATTAAATTTAACAAGAAGCAAGAAAATGTTCTCCTTCTCTAGGAAAAACAATTTTTCTTGACCTTAGGCCTCGTTTTTATTCCTTTTCTATTGTTTTCAACTCACTTCCGGCTTTCGTCGAAAGTCACGAATCACTTCAATGTGTTTTTTAGACTCGCTTAATGTTAGAAAAAATACTGAAAAAATACTTCACACAATTGAGCAATTAATCTTTAAAAATGAATGAACCTTGAAGCTAAGACCAAGCCATTACYTGGATAACCGTTTACAAAATAGACCTTTTATTACATGGAATACGACCGCCATCTTGAATTCCATTTTCAGTAAGAAATTATGGGATGACCAATAAACAAGAAATTTCACGTTTGTCCTCCAAGTGTCATAGAAATGTCCTGCATAGTTCTCAACAAAAATGGTGATTTTGGGATATTCCATAGTATAGACAACAACCAATGTTTACACACAAGACATACACGTACTGTACACAGGCCTCCCAACTATTGCTTAGAGAATTAATGTTTTTTTTTATGTTTAGCAGCTTTCTTGTTCGAAAAATGATGAATTCTTCTGGATTACCTGTGGCAAACGTCATCTACATCTACATCTACGTTTATTGATCGACAACGCTTTRGCATCAAGCCGATATATACATATATTTACAAACAAGAAATAATAATCTAAAATATCGATTTACAAATATAAATATCCTAATTATATAAAAATTAATCTTAAATATCAATTTACAAATATAAATATTCTAATTATAAATAATGAATATACAAATAAATAATGACGTGTTTTTGGAATTTTCACGATTCCGTGCGAGCCTCGCGGGATACAAACAAATTAAATACAGGTCACGTGACAAATCTAATTTTGCTCCGATCTTTTCAAGAAAAGCAAAAAAGACGATTTTCAAGATAATTTCTTGTGAGCAAGATTTTTTTTTTCTTCGTGGCTTTTGGGTAGGATATATATTTTTTCTCTTGGTGCTGTGTAGGATTTTTTTTTCTTCTATGTAACATTTTTTTTGGCTTAGGTGGTGCAAGATTTTTTTTTAGGTCCATATGTTGTGCACGCTTTGTATTTTTGGTGAAGATGGCTTGCAGGATTTTTTTTTTTTTTTTCAAAATAACCAACATATTTCTTTTCTGACGACTTGGCGCCACGACGTCAAAACACTAGAAATATCGAAGTGGAATCCTGTCTTTTTCTCTATTTTCCAAAATAACAGCTAACCCTACTTAACGTCCTATAAAGGCTTCAGAGGAATCTCCAGAAAGTTTCACGCGACTGTTTCTGCAAGTCGCTGATGCATTTGATTATCAGTACATTTTTTTTTGACTGCGTATCTTGCTGGTCAGCGCGCTTACTACGAAAAGTACACAGGAGARCCGGTATTTTCAAGCAAGACCGAACATTCTGGACATTGATTGTTAAACATTTTCTTACTTATATATATAATAATAGCTTGAATCTGACATATCTAGCAAAACTATCGASGCTGAAACTGCAGACTATTTATAACAAAGTACAAAACTGATGATATTGACATCAAAATGGCGTCGATGTTTGGCTGTCTTGTGTCTGGTCGTCTGGTAAGTCAAATCACGGATCCTATTATTCTTAA